ATAAAAAAATTGAAATTTTTACAAGAATTTAAAAAAATTTTTTTAAATAATTAAATTTCTGCTAAGATGTTTATTATTTTTAAAAACAATTGAATTCTTGTAATAAATATTGATATTTATGAAAATAATTGAATTTAGCAAAGAATTTTATTAAAAATTCTGTAAATAATTGAATTTCGGAGAAGAATTTTGTTATTTATAAAGAAAATTGAAATTTTTGCAAGAATTTTTAAAAATTTTTGAACATAATTGAATTTCTGCAAAGAGTTTTATTACTTTTGAAAATAATTGAAATTTGGAGAAGAATTTTGTTATTTATAAAGAAAATTGGAATTTTTGACGAGAATTTTTTAATATTTTTGAAAATAATTGATTTTTTGCTAAGATGTTTATTACTTCTAAAAATAATTTAATTCTTGTGATGAATATTGGTATTTATGAAAATAATTGAATTTTTCAAAGAATTTGATTAAAATGCCTCAAAATAATTGAAATTTCGGAAATAATTTTGTTATTTATCAAGATAATTATATTATATATTAATATATTAGAATTCGTGGTAATATCATATGTAGTTTTTATGAGGCAAACAAAAAAGTCACAAAAATTCAGAATTTTTATATGAATTCTAAAAATTTAATCATTTACAGTACTTTTAATAAAAATCCCTGACTTTTCCCTGGTTTCTCTGAGCAATTCTACTTTCCCTGATTTTTTCCTGAATTCCCTGACCTGTGGCAACCCTGAAGAATTAAAACGCCACGCCTTTCCCGAGTTTTCCATATAGAAAGTAATCGAGAAGAAATCCTAATCGAAATTTCTACTCGCAAGAAATTTGAAATAATGAAAAGAAATATTTAATTTGAAAACAAGTGTCGACGATGCTTCGATAAGATAAATGCCAGTGGCAATAAAAAAGAAACATATTTGTTTATCTCCTGAAAATCCTTCCACATAAATATAACTCTTGTGTGAAAAACACTTTCTTGATGAAATTGCACCTGCATTCTCGTTACACCACTGAACTAATTAGAGTTGAAATTTTATTAAACCAGCTTTATATGTATATATTTCTGTAGACGTAATTACCAAGCTATAGAGTTTCAAACACCTGTCCGACTGCTCATGAGCGCACGATTCGCGCTGCATCAATAAATTTCATTGACCCGTTGCTGGCGAAATAAATACCAAGATTTTATGAGTAAAAATATTTCAAACGTACCGATAAAAAAAATTAAACACATATAGATTCTATTATATCGATATTATAAAACTCGCTCCGTTTCGTAATTAATGCAAATTGAAAGCAGTACACTCTGACATCATTTTCAATTACAGCAATGAGAGATAAAGAAAATATATTATTACATAAATCATGAGTATATGATAGGCGAAATTAATATTCTTTTCATTAATGAGTAATTTTGATAATTAATTTTTTTTCTTTTTTTCTTTTTTGCAGAAGAAGAGATAACGGGGCTCTTTTTTTTTGAGGAAGACAAAAGAGACTTGCGCGTTAAGGGCTGTTGCTATAATATGAAATTCAAAGCCACCAAGTAGCGTTCCCACCCCCGACTTAACGACAGCGACGCCCCTGAGCATCAGTATGCTAATCCGATGATTGGCTATGTTCCAACCTCGCCCCTCTCGACAGCCTCTTGGTGTATATATATCTCGCTTCCTGGTGGCTTCGACCACCCTTAACCAAAACCATAAGCCGAAACTAACCCTTATTCTAATTAGGCAACGCCACGACGCACACTGCTTTGCATATTTTCTCGATTAACTCTCTTCTTTATCCAGTCCGGCCGTTACACAACCACTTTTCTCAATTTTCCATCATTGATTCTTATCGGTTTGAGTCAATTTTTCTCTCCTCTCATTTCCATCGATATTTCTAGAAAAATAAGGAAAAATTTTCAATTTCATCAAAATCAATATATTAATAATCGTTTTATCCCGATAATCTGTTTAATAATTTTTACTGAAAATTTTTATTCAATTATTTCTATAAATAATAAAATATTCGCTGGAATTCAATCATTTTAAATACAATTTTACTTGAATTCCAATTTAATTTTCCCTGCAGGGAAAATTAAATTATTTTTAAATTCTTCGTAAGAATTCAATTATATCAATAAATAGTATCTACATTTCCCTCAGAAATTCAATTATTTTAAATACAATTTTCTTAAAATTCATCTCAAAAATTCAATTATTTGCAGAAATAATAAATTTTTTCGCAGAGATTTAATTATTTAAAAAAGTTTTAATAAAATTCTATTTAAGAATTCAATTATTTTCAGAAATAATTAAATTTTTGATGTACCTACTGAAAATCATTGAATTCTTGGCGGCATTTTTATTAAAATTCTTTAAAATAATTAAATTGTTTTGAAGAATTTATTTCAATTTTCCTGAAAATAATGGAGTTTTTTTAAAATAATTTTTACTGAAAATTTTGAAAGTAATTGAATTTTATACAGATTTTCTTTTAAATTTTTAAAATAATCGTTTTTATTATTTTGTATCTAATTAGTGATTTTTCTTGTAAATAATTACATTTTTTTTAATAATTTCATTAAATTTCGTCAAAATTAAGTATTTTTTAAAAATAATTTTAATTGAAAATAATTGAAAATTACAAGAATTCGTGAAAGAATTTTATTAAAATTTTTAAAAATAATTGAACCTGTTAGAGAAATTTTATTAAAATTATCTTGAATATAATTAAAATTTTTCCTATAGAAATTTTATTAAAATTGTATTGAAAATAATTGAATTTTTCAGAAGAATTTTATTATTTATAAAAATAATTGAATTCTTGTCAAGAATTTTATAAATTTTAAAAATAATTGAATTGTTTAGAAGAATTTTATCAGAATTGTTGAAAATAATTGAGTTTTTATTAAAACTCTTGAAAATAATTGAATTTTATTGAAAATAATTGAATTCTATTGAAAATAATTGAATTTTTTGATGGGATTTTATTAAAAATTTTGAAAATAATAATTTTTTAAAAAGATTTTCTTCACAATTGTGGAAAATAATTGAATTTATATTAAAATTTTTGAAAATAATCGAATTTAATTAATTTTTTTAAAAATAATTGTATTCTTTCGTGAAATTTTATTAAAATTGTATTGAAAATAATTGAATTCCTTCGAAACATTTTATTATTTATAAAAATAATTGAATTCCTTTGAAGAATTTTAATATTTAAGAAAATAATTGAATTCGTGCAGAGAATTTTACAATTCATAAAAATAATTTAATTGTTTCGAAGAATTTTATCTGAATTTTTTGAAGGAATTTTATTAAAAATTTTGAAAATAATGATTTTCTTAAAAGAATTTTTTTAGAATTGTTGAAAATAATTGAATTTTTATTCAAACTCTTGAAAATAATTGAATTCGTCCGTAACATTTTATTATCTATGAAAATAATTGAATACCTTTAAAGAATTTTATTATTTATGAAAATATTTTAATCTTGTAAAGAATTATATTATTTATGAAAATAGTTGAATTCTTTCAAAGAAATGTAATTAAAATTGTATTGAAAATACATAATTCAATTCTTGGCAAGTTTTTAATTAAAATTCTTTAAAATAATTGAATTTATATTAAATTTTTTAAAAATAATCGAATTTAATTAACATTTTTAAAAATATTAAGAAGATAAATTCACTTTCTATAATTTTTAAAAATAATTGTATTGATTAATATTTTTATTAAAATTGTATTGAAAATAATTGAATTGCTCTAAACAATATTATTATTTATGAGAATAATGAATTTCTTGCGAAAAATTTTATTAAAATTTTTGAATAATAATAAACAAGAATATTTAATATTATGTACACTTAATAAGTGAATTCTTTAAATTTTGAATCTGTAATCATTTAAAGAATTTAATGTTTATTATTGAAAACATAAAATTGTTTAATTTACAAAATAATAATAAATGGAAATCTTAATTACATTGCGTTTGAAAATTAATTTGTTTTCTATTTCCAATTTCCAATTTTTCGAAACACTGGAAATTTCAACTATAATAATTAATTTTAGCGAATATTCATTGCGACCTATCAAACTTTTTTCGTCCCAATATCCGGAAAATAATTAAATTAACAAGTTTCAAATTCAAACTTATTGATGCGCTTTATTGAAAGTTGTATTGTCTATATAACTTCTTCGATAATTTACCTTTTTAATTGTTAGTCAATAATTCGACAAATTAACAAACTTTTTAATAAGTTAACAAAAAAAAGTAACTTCTCGATTAGTTTTAACAAAAAATGAAATTATTTTATCGATAAAATTAGCTAAATATAAATAAATATCGATTTCAATAAAAAGTGCAACTTTTCAATAAGTTAAGAAAGGGCAATAATTCCATCGATAATTTTTAGGAAGAATTTTATTAAAATTTTAGAAGATAAGTGAATTCTTTTGGAAAATATTATAACGAATAGTTATTACAAGTCATTAATTGACAGGAGAGAAATATAGCGTTTAAATATAATAATGGATCGAAATAATTTGATAAGTCGAGTAAAGAATTGATGTATCGCGTCAAATAAAACGCGAGGAGCATTATAGCGGACGGATTCTATGCATACTAACATAACATCATCAAAATCCACTTGAGTTTTCACCCTGCGCTCAATGAAATTGAAATGGGTTTCATTGGTGGCAACAATGGCCCCGAGGGGAACCTGACATAAGCTCATAAACTTGCAATATTGAATACAAATGGATGCGTCCGCCTAAGCAAAGTCCGGGGTGCAAATGAGCCTCATGAACCAACTCTCAGCTTCTACATAAGGGGTGAATCCCTATTAAGAGTCCAATAAAAAAAATAAAATCACCCCATTATTCATGGGTCTTCCTCAAGTCTTAAAAACTCTATTGTAAAATACTTCCACACTATGTGTATCAATCAGCTTTTTATTATTATTGATAATAATTTCCATAAATTTTGAAAGCGACACTCACTTTTTCTCTCGTTTACCCGCTCCCGTATCTCTGAATCCTTTCGCAAATGGATTGTTGTCGATCTTCAATTGTGTGATCTAGAAAAGTAGAAAGAAATTTTCAGTTAGATTCAATTATTATTTTCAATTCAATAAGAATTGCATGCATTTTAGAATTTAGAATTAAATATTTTCGATTATTTAAAAAATTTCAATTACTTGTTTTTTAAAAATTCAATTATCTTTCCGAAAATAGAAGAAAAATATTTTAAAAAACTAATTCTTTAGAATTTTGAATAAAATTTTTCTAAACATCAATTCTTAAACGAAATTTTAAATTTAAACGTTTCTGAAATTGAACTAAAATTTTTCAGAAACCTTATTTTTTTAGAATATTAGATAAAAGTATTTAAAAATTAAATTAAATAATTTTTTAAAATGATTTTTTAATTATTACTAATTTCTTCACAGCAATTAAAATTTTCTTTCGGAAATTTAATTTTGGATACTTGGATTATTTTTTTATAATGATATTGAAAATAATTGAATTCTCGCAAAGAATTTTATTATTTATGACAATAATTGAATTCTTCCAAAGAATGTTATTAAGATTTTTGAAAATAATTGAATTCTTACAAAAAATTGTATTACTTCTAAAAATAATTGAATTCTCGCAAAGAATTTTATTATTTATGAAAATAATAAAATTCTTCCACAAAAATATTGTATTACTTTTGAAAATAATTGAGTTTCTGCAAGAAATTCCTTAACTATTGGAAATAATTGAATTCTTTCGTAGAATTCTATTAAAATTTTTGAAAATAATTAAATTTTGGAGAAGAATTTTATTATTTATGAAAATAATTAAATTCCTATTAAAAATTGGATTATTTATAAAAATAATTGAAATCTTGAGAAGAATTTTATTTTAATTTTCGAAAATATTTGAATTTATAACAGAAATTTTATTGTTTATGAAAATAATTAAATTCATACGAAAAATTAGATTATTTATAAACATAATTGAAATCTTGAGAAGAATTTTAGAAAATTTTTCGAAAATAATTGAATTCCTACTAAAAATTGGATTATTTATAAAAATAATTGAAATCTTGAGAAGAATTTTATTTCAATTTTCGAAAATATTTGAATTTATAACAGAAATTTTATTGTTTATGAAAATAATTAAATTCCTACGAAAAATTTAATTATTTATAAACATAATTGAAATCTTGAGAAGAATTTTATTAAAATTTTCGAAAATAATTGAATTCTTATGAAAATTGTTATTATTTATGACAATCATTGAATTCTTGCAAAAAATTTTATTAAATTTTTTGAAATTAATAAATAATAATAATTAATTTGTTAATAAGTAATTTTTTAAATTTTGAATCTGAAATTATTAAAGAATCAAGGTTTATGTTTAAAAATATAACATTTGGTAACCTTATTTGCTAATTTAATTTGAAAAGTAGTAATTTACAATAAATTTAATCATTTTTAGAAATTAAAATCAAGTGAAAAAAAATTTAATTAGAATTCAAGGCTAAGCATTTTAAAAATATTTCTGAACAACTATTTTTATCTAAAATCTTTTCCAAGTTAAGTGTAATTAAAGAAATTAAGAAAGTTGTTACAGAATTTAATTATTTAAAATTTTAATTATTTTCAGAAATAAGAAATCGAGTGAAAAAAAGTTCAAGAAGAATCATTTCGAAAATATTTTTCGACCCAAAAACCAGAAGAAATATTTTTTTAAAAATACCTAATTAATTCATACACTTAAATATGAGTCGAATTTGAACGAAATGAAAAATTAAAATTTTGGTAAATTACATAAATTTCAAACTATAGTCGAAGAATTGAATCGAGAATTAAACATTGAAAATTGTAAATTTTTGAAATTCGCCTCAAGAATTTATACTAATTCATATAAATACATATTTCGAAAAATCTTATCAGTCGGGTATTAAGAATGACTTCTTTCTTATAAAATACAGAGCGGAAGAACAAGAGGTGGTTGTCTTTTATCTAAATTGCGTTGAGTTTTATTTCAATCCCGTCACGAATCCCTGATGTAATCTGGCCCACTAGCGTCGCGTTTCGTGAGAGATAATTAAATAGAGAAGAATCAAAGGGCAAAAAGAAAAAAAAATCGAACAAAGCCATGCCTTTACGATGATGACGATTTGGCGAACGATATCCGCGCAGAAGTGACGCGCGCGTCTTTAAATCTACCAGAAATAATGTGTGTACTGAGAACGCGTACTGATTTCCCGAAATAAGAGGATCTTTTATCAAAGAAAAAGCGAGAGAGCGAGAGAGAGAGAATTAACAGATATTAATTAGCACACGACTATAAAGCACCACGTGATTCTGTAGATAGATTATGATTCCGGATAGTTTCGCTATATGAATGAAGGAGCAATTGTCCGTACACGTGTTGCAATCACACTATAAAAGAAAATTTTTTTATTACTTTTTACATCTTTCCGAGAGAAATAGTTTATTTTCAGAAATTCGAAATTTTAACTACTAACTCTCGATTTATAATTTTGTGAAAGGAAAAAAATGTTAATTTCTCTCTCGTGTGCTAGTGGAAATTTACGTAAATTAATTTATTCTCCCCTGTAACACGAGAAAAATTAAAGAAAAGGAATTAATTTCTTGCGATTAAAAAACACTACCAGTTGAAAATATTTAAATTTTAAATTCGAAGAAAAATGAGATGGAAAAAAAGAAAACAAACGGAGGGGGTGAAAAATTCACCTTTTCATTTTGGTAGGCAGTCACAGCGATGAATTCCGTTTCCTTGAAAACATAACTCCTGAACGTCGAGTATGGGAGCTTTAGGATGTCGTTGGCCCGGACGAGATGAAACCTCGGCTGGTATTTGTGCATGGAATTCAATATCGTCTGAAACAAAAAGAACAGAGCATACATTGGGACAGACTGTTTTATATTTCGTGGATCAAAAAAATCAATTTTCAACGTTATAGTCAATTTTAAAAATTTAAAAAGAAAAAAAGTAACAGAATTTTTTAATTTTTGTAATATAATTTAAATTTTTATCCTTCTTTTCTGTATTTAAAAACTTTTCGTCAATTCATAAAATATAAATAAAATATAAAAAAATCGAAAAATGTAATTTAAAGTTTAAAAAATCAAAAAAATGTAATTAAAAATTTTTCTATATTCTATAATTGAAAAAAAAATTGCAGAGAAAATAGAGAATGTAAAAATATATTATTATTTGACTATATCATGTGCAAACTATATCAATCATAAAACCTGTCGCATGCAAGGAAAATTACCTGTGACTCACTCGCTTTTACGAAAAAGAAATGAAAAACAGTTTTGATTACCACCTGCGAGGATTTGAAAAACGACTGGTATTAAAATTATTGCTCACGGATCATCGAGCAATAATTACTACAAGTCGATAATTAATCAAACGCTGCTAATTGAAACATTGAAAATGTTTTCGTACTAAAATGTCAAATTCATTTACATATATATTTTTTTTACCCCAAAAAATTACGAAATATATTTACTGCGCATTCATTTCTTTTTCTTAATTTATACTTTCAATTTTCAATCTTTTCAGTATTTCAACGCTTTTTATTTCAGTAAAAAAAATTGTTCTTAACAAAATAATTTTTTTTCTTAACGAAAAAAATTTTTTCGATAAAAATAATTTATTTTCGTAACAAAAAAAAATTGTTTCTTTTAGAAAATAATTTATTTTCGTAACAAAAGAAATTGTTCCTTTTAGAAAATAATTTTTCTTCTTAACAAAAAAAATTGTTTTTGACAAAATAAATTATTTTAGCAATAAAAAAATTGTTCCTTTTAGATAACAATTCATTTTCGCATTAAAAAAAATTGTTTCTTTCAGAAAATAATTTATTTTTTAATTTATTTTCGTAACAAAAAAAAAATTATTTCTGACAAAATAATTCATTTTCTTGACAAAAAAATTGTTTCTGACAAAGTAATTTATTTTCGTAACAAAAAAAATTGTTCCTTTCAGAAAATAATTCATTTTCGTATCAAAAAAATTATTTCTGACAAAATAATTCATTTTCTTGACAAAAAAATTGTTTCTAACAAAATAATTAATCTTCGTAACAAAAAAATTGTTCCCTTTAGAAAATAATTTATTTGCGTAACAAAAAAATTGTTCCTTTCAAAAAATAATTTTTTTTCGTAACAAAAAAAATTGTTTCTGACAAAATAATTTATTTTCTCGACAAAAAAATTGTTCCTGACAAAATAAATTATTTCCAGAATAAAAAAATTGTTCCTAACAAAATAATCTATTTTAACAATAAAAAAATTAATTCCATCTCTGCATTTTAGGAAATCTTGAGCCGAGAGTCTGGCGAATAAATAGTGGAGCGAAAGCAGGATTTTTCTCTGCGCGCGGAAAAGAATTTCACGAGATTTGTGAGCCTTGGAGGAGGAATATATATCTCTTTCTCGAGGCGTCCACAGTAAGGAACGCATCCTGAATAATGAAGGAGGAAAAATGGCGTCTAGAGAGCACAAGGTAGAGAGCGAGAGAGAGAGAGAGAGCGAGAGCCCGGAGAGTATTATGCAGATATGGGCGGTCGTCGTCGTGGTTCGACGATGGTAATGACCGAGCATGACAATCACCTCGAGTACAAACCATAGTTCTACCTCCCATAGATTCGCAAGCGCGAATTGCACCCCACGTCGAGTTATTTCCGCCACTGCCGGATTGACCACCATTACGACGTGCATAATTTATTCAACGAGTATCGCTCCGCTCAGGGAATGATCGATTGGCAGATTTCGAATTCTCAGGCCACCCAGGATTTCATGATCATCAGAGAAACTCTTCCTTATTCCATTAAACAGAGAGAGAGAGAGACAGAGAGAGATTGATCGTGATCTTCCACGCATATTAAGTCGCCTTATTATCCATCAGTCACCATATTTTCTAATAATCAAACTCAAAAATTATTATTTAGTAATAATAATCGAAATATTATGTCCTTTTAGTATAGAATATCTTCTTTTCCATTCTAAATTGTTCTATCAAATTTTCATGTCAGGTTTAACATAGTTAATTTGTAAATAGAGTAATTAGTGTTTTAGTGAAACTAATTCTCCTAGAATTTTGGCAATAACAGGATTTTCATAGAAGAAAATTTTAATTTTTTGTTCCTATAGGAAAATTATATCCCAAGTATTCAAAAAAATATGAAATTATTCAAATACTTGAATATAAATTTTCTTTCACAAAATTTAAAAAAATTCATAAGTAGAGTTATAGTTTCAATTTTTAGAAATAATCAATCACTTATTTTTGTATATTTAAAATTTCAATAATTAAATTAATTAAATTTCAAATTTAGAAATTTAATTTAGAAATCCTGAAAAACTGATGTTTTTAAAAAATTGTAATAAAAATTTATTGAAACTAGTTGATTTCTCAAAAATAATTTTAAAAAAATGAGAAGATAATAAATTTTTTCAAATTTCATTGTAATAAATTTTATATTACAAAGAATTTGATTTTCTCACTTTAAAAAATTATTTTTAAATATTACTGTATTTTAATTATTTAATATTATTTATTATTTTCGAAAATATTGAAAACATTTTACTTTCATAAATTTTAACAAAATCTTGTGCAAGAATTAAATTATTTTCATAAATAATAAAAGTTTTTACTAAACTTTAATTATTTTAAAGAGCTTCAGTAAAATTCTTCGCAGGAATTCAATTATTTTTAAAAATATTAATAAAATTCTTCGCAAGAATTCAATTATTTTCATAAATAATAAAATTCTTCGCTAATAAAATTCAATTATTTTAAAGAGTTGAAATTAAATTCTTCGCAGGAATTCAATTATTTTCAAAAATGTTAATAAAATTCTTCTCAATAATTCAATTATTTAAAAAAATAATACAATTTTCGAAGGAATTCAATTATTTTTATAAATAATACAATTTTTCGAAGGAATTAAATTATTTTCATAAATTGTAAAATTCCTCTTATGAATTCAATTTTTTTTAAATTTTAATAACATTCATCTCAATAATTCAATTACTTTCAAAAATAATGAAATTCTTCGCAAGAATTCAATTATTTTCATAAATAATACCAAATCTTTATCAAAATTCAATTATTTTAGAAGGTTTCAATACAATTTTTCACTGGGATTTCATAATTTTTAATGCAATTTAAATGAAATTCCTCTAAAAAATTCCAATATTTTTAAAAACTTCAATAAAATTTAATTATTTTTGAAAATAATTTTAATTATTTTTTGTCATTTTCTATCATTTCTTGTCAAGAATTTAATTTTTTTCAAAAATATAATTAAATTCTTGACAGAAATTAAATTTCTTTCATAAATAATAAAATAATTCGGAGTAATTCAATTATTTTTAATACAATTTCAATAAAATTAATTCATGGAATTCAATTAATATTAAAATTTGTTATTAAATTTTCTTTAAAAAAAATTCAATAAATTACTATCAGAAATAAAATTTTTGGAAGAATTCAATTTTTTTCAAAAATAAAATTTCTTGAAAGAATTAATTTATTTTCAGAAATTTTGTTAAAATTATTAAAAAAAAATTAAATTTGTTTTCAGAACGATGTTAATTAATTGCCTCAAAATAAACTTAGAATTTTCTTCGAAACAAATTAAAATTGTATTTTTACAAATATTATTTTTTTTATTTATTTTTATTAATAATAAAGCGCTTCGCCGAAATTCAATTATTTTCAATACAATTATAATAAAATACAAAAGAATTTAATTAATTGAAAAAATGTTGATAAAATATTTATTTTCCATATTTTTGTATTTTTCAAAGAATTATATTTGGAAAAATTATATTTTTGAAAAAATAATAATTTTTCACTATAAAGAAAGTTTAGTAACTAATAATGTACTTAAAAATTTCACGCGCGTGTATTTTGTAATATAAAATACAAAAGCAAAAATCAGAATAATTACACTAAAGATAGTAAAAAAATCCTCCAAGATAGTGGGAGTAGAATAAAAAATTCCCCGAGATATATAGTATATATATGGGAAAATCGTAAACGAGAGTAAAAACGGTTAATTTTGTCAGAGATGGGAAAAAAATTGAGGAAATATAAACAAGTTTTATGGGAGTTGATTAGAATGTGGTAAAACAAAAATTAATCACGTTATTTACAAGCGAGCAACTGAACTTACGTTGCTTATTACCGTGATTCAAAGTAGTGAAGTGCAAGTGCTCTGAGCAGTAAAGCGCAGAAATGGGCCAAGTAATAATATAGATACGATACTTGCCAGGTACAAAGGCACTGTAAAAATGTTATACAATGCTCTCGTGAGAAAGATATTGCCGTGCGCCAGAAAGGCTCCTGTAATTTATGGGGCTTCACTCTCGTGGTCGAAGCATCTACTTCATTGATGAAAACGATTCCTTTTGCCCTTTTTTTTCTCTTAACTCTCCTAGAGAGCAAATTAAATCCTTTTTAATTTCATTTCTTCTTCATCAGAAAACCTTCTTATAATAGAGTATTTCAAATTTCCCAAGCGAAAAATCTCAATTTCTTCTAATCATTAGTTAAAATGAATTTCACCAATTCAAGGAGTTCTATTCTTTTAAATACATCAGTTTTAAATTTCACTAGCGAAATTAAATTATTAGTTAGAAATTCCAAACACAATTTTTATTTTCAGCTAACAAATTAATTTTGTCTATACTTTCAGATCTTGGACAATTCATTTTCGTAGCAAAAAAATTGCTGTTGACAAAATAATTTATTTTCATAACAAAAAAATTGTTCCTAACAAAATAATTAATCTTCGTAACAAAAAAATTGTTCCCTTTAGAAAATAATTTATTTTCGTACCAAAAAAAATGTTTTCTGATAA